ATAATGCTTTTCCTTCTTATCATAATCATCTTTGTGATCGTAATATTTAGCAGGAACCCAAGGATTATAATAAGGATTATATGATTTAAGGTTTGGATTGTAGTACGGATCGTATTTTACTTTGTTGTAATCGTAGTCGTAGTCGTCCTTTTTACCATAATCGGTCGGAACAGGAGAACGTTTTGAGCGTCTATAATGCTTTTCCTTCTTATCATAATCATCTTTGTGATCGTAATATTTAGCAGGAACCCAAGGATTATAATAAGGATCATATGATTTAACGTTTTTATCGTGGTAATCATAATATTTGTCCTTGTCTTGGTAAGAAGCCAAGGCTAACGTAGCGAATAGGCCGAGTACAAGAAAAATTGATTTCATTTTAGTAATTTTCTTTTTATGATGTATATTACTTTCAGAGAAACAATAGAAGGTTGAAACGAAGAGGTTTATATACTTATTTGAAAGATAAATGATGTGGCTTTTACTTGCAACTATTTTCTTATTTAAAAGCGGTTTCCAATAATGGAATTTTCATTAAAAATTCTACTTTTACTTGCGACCTCATGAAAATCACAAAAACTTTTTTTTTTTTGATCGATCTAAAATGCGATCTCTTCATAGTCCAATTATAGAAATTGTCATATCTTTTTGTGTTTACTAATTCTCGCCTAGCAAGTTGCCGATCTCATCAGCTTTATTTAGAGTTAAAGTAACGTAAACTAATAAAGGAATTTCGATATTATTCTATTTATAACGATGCGCGAAACATTAAAAAAAGGTTAACCTGATATAAACGAAACCAAAACCAAACCGGGTAAGAAATTAATCAAACCTAAGCAAAAAAAGTAAAAGTGGGTTCTGGGTCGATTAATTATTCCCTATGGCTGGTTATTGTGTTATTAATAAAATTATTATTAAAATTTTTATTATTGAAAATTTTCTCATCTTTTAAATTTTTATGATAATCGTTGTAAAATAAATCTCTCGAAAAGTTTTTTTTTTTTTAAACTTCTTCATTGTAAAACGATAATCATAAGGCAAAGGCGTTCGCATTATTTGTTCCTTTTTTTAGTAACTTAATATAGCTATATTAAGTTTGAATAGTTACTATAAATATGCTTTTCTTTAAATTCATAGAAAAATAAACCTTTGATTTTGCCCCATGAAAAAAATTTTTTTCAATTGTTCTTGTCGACTCGAGATGTTAGTATTGATTATTATAAAACTTGAAATGCAACCGGCACGTAACCCAAATTGAATGAAGTGAATGACAAGTCATCTTCATTCGATTCCTTGTTTAAAATATTTGAATTGACGTTTATTTATAATTTCCTTGATATTGTTTCGATTCCAAAATTTTTCGAGGCGCAGGTATCGGTTGAAATTTTGACGATTAATTACTATATCTTTTAGTTGATTTAACGGATAAAGATTTTGTGACGAGAAAATTTAAAGATGAGTTAAAGTATTGAGAATTTCAAAAACAAACGGCTTGTATTCCATTTCGTGGACGATATGATGAAGAGTAACTACTAGAGAGGACACAATATTTCTTTTTTCAAGTTTGGTCGAAAAATACACGTGATCGTCACGGCAGGGTTTCAGTAAACGTCTTCAAAGCTAGCATGAGATCCTGACTATATAAATTTTTATTTTATTTTATTTCTTTTTTTCAAAGCATCATTCATAATAAAAATCTAAGTAGTATGGAAGAGGGTTTTTTTTTGTACCTATTTTACGTTTAATAATTTGAATTTCGACAAATGTAGTTTAAAATCTACATGATCGCAAATACAAGTAACGATTTCCGTGAGAACATATCCGCGCATCTTTAGAATTGGGCCAAATTTTTGATCCCCAAAAGTTGATTATTTCATATGATTTTTGGTGTAACAAATACATAGGGTCCGATTTTTATCTGGATCGGTTTGTAAACCGGAGTTTATATATACAGTATATTGTAAAAATCTTAGACGAAACTAAAAAAAATTGTGCGACACTCAACATTCCCAATCCAAAAATTTTATTATAATAAAAAATAAACCAAAAAAAAAAAAGTCGAATTATACAAAAAAAAAATTTTTTTTTTGCGATCTATTATTACCGAAACATTGCTTTTGACCCGAAATAATTTCGCCTTATTATGCATCCCCAAAATTTTAATATAAATTTATAAATTTTCTACTATCCTTCATTCCGAAATCCAATGCTTCATACAAATAATTGCCCCTTGATTTAACCTGTCAAGCCTGAAATTGAAAAGGCTCTTTCTGATGGAACCGATGTCGCTTGGATCGATAACTATTTACCGGAAACTTTAGATATTATTTAAGGGAGAATATGTACTATATAATTCTTGTAAATTATTAATAATTCCAGCTAAGTCATTATTATCAAATAATATGATTTTGTAACGCGGATCTAATACCAAAGAAATTGTAGAAGGGTAATTTAAATGATCATCCCAATATTTTTTTAATTTGTTGTAAATAACTGATGCTATTTCTTTTTGTGTGTGTGATGACCTCCTCTTTGATATTGATTCAATTTTTTAAACATTCCAACAAAAACCCATCGTATATGGGAAGTTTGTTAGGAAAATGGGGCCCTGAGAATTTTTTTGACTAAAATTAAGACCTTATTACATTTTAATCTAATAACATCAAAAACTAAAATGCAATAAAAACAAAATTTTGTTAAAAAATTCCCAGAGCCCCATTTTCCTAGCAAACCTCCCATATCACCTTGTGTAGGATTTAATGATGATGATAACTGTGTTGCTTCATACATAGGTTATAAAATTAATGATAATTCCTAAAAATAAATAATAAGTTATAATAAATTAATTAATTATAATAATAAAATAATAAATAATTAAATACCTTAATACGACCTCATTCAGAAATTGTTGGAAAAAGATTATCAAGATCTTCAGGATTTGTAAATCAGAAACATTCTGCATTAAAGTTTGTCTAGCAATCATCAAATATGTAAAATTTCAACAGGTATCTATATCTAAAATTGGTTTTAAAAATTTAACCTTTCTAATGGTACAAATTTCTAATAATTTATCCAATAATAATGGTGAATTTTTTACTTTAACAACAAATTGGTAAAGTTTTTTGATTTCATCTTCTAAATATTTCATTTCAGCTTTTACTGCCAAATTGATAATGTAAGCAGTACATCAGATAAATACAGTACATATTATTAAAATCTTGATCTAATTCAGCTGCTAATTGATTACCATATGCTATCGTATTGCTTCCATCATAGCAAGAATATTCTGACTAATATTTAATTCTTCAAAAAGTTGCGAAAGTTTGCTTGTAATTAATTTAGCTCTATGAGAACCATTTACAGGAATTATATCAAGTAAAAGATTCTTTAATTCCCAATTTTTATTAATATAATGAATTGTTATTTCAAGATAAAAATCTTTTGGATCTGATGTTCATATATCTGTTATGAGAGATATATTTGAATAATTTGTGAAATTTCGCCTATTAAATTATTTCTTTTTGTATCATAATTTTTTACAAATTTTTCTTTTAAATTTTGTCTACATGGTAAAATAAATTAAGGATTCAACTTATTAGCAATTTGAATTCAGTATTTTTAACAATAAAATCAATCAATGAATTTGTGATGGAATAGGATGATTTTTAAATGTTTTCGAAGGGTAGTTGTTGGATTGCCAGGTGAATAAATTTTAGCACAAAATGCATTTATAACTTGTTGTTGGTCCAGTTTCTTCATTTTGGACCTTCCCACACATCTGACTTGCGAGTCGTTATATAGGAATTTTCTTCAGTTGCTTAAAGAAGTTGAAGAAACATCTGAGAAATTGTTCGTCATTTTCATTTGAAATTACGCCGCCAGACCTTTTGTAATACAAACAATAATGCAAAACGAAAATAATTCTATTTAAAATGATCAACGCGTCTTATTTACGCGACACGGCATTAGATAGATTGATCGTCCAAACCGGTCTAAAAATAGTACCGAAACGGTTGGGCAGCAGGTACGTTACTACTGTTGGTACTCTATTATCATAACGAATGTTGTTATGATCAAATATGTTGATAGTAAGAATTATTTATTGTTAGCTCCATTGAAAGAAATATTAATTACAGCATTTGTTCTCCCCCGAGTAAAATCATTTTTTTTGGTTACGATCGATTTTTTTTTACGAGAAACATGATGAAAACTCACATGAGAGAAAGGGGGTGATAAGTAATGGATGGAAATATGTATGATTCTATTATTAATTTCATTCCTCTTTTTCCTACGATCTTAGTTATCCTTACATTCATTTCCTTAAGATATTCTATTGTAGAATAGTTTCGTTTAACCTTTTCGTTTTTACGATCTTAATTTCAATTATGAATTTATGTCGACAAATAAAAAAAAAAAGGATTTCCAAAAAAATCTCGAAAAAAAATGCGGGGATTCTTTTTTGGGATAGCTACGTAACGATCAAATCAATACCAACCTTTTATGTATTTGATTTAGACCATAAAGGTTTCCATTGTAATTTTTTAAAAAAAAGAAGTCCTTTCATGGATGATATTTGGTTATTTGAGCCGTTATAGGATTGTTTTTCCACGACGGGGTGTTATCGACAGTCAAGATACGAAATTCTCACCGCAAAAGTATAAATCATGTATAAATGGTATTATTTATTTTTTTTTTTTAATCGATTCGTGTTATAAATTATTGACTTTGACAGATTAATATGCTTATTTCACCCTATCTCACCAATAATTCATCATATATGCGTCATCACAAACTTTCGATAACCGCAAATTTTCATTTGAAAAACAAGATGACAGATCCGTGTTTCATCAAAATGGTCTCACGTAATATGGACGCGTTTATTACATTGAGACTTTTAAAAAAATTTTTTTCCTTCGTTCACAAAAGCAACTCTATCCCATCTCTTTTATATCGTCGTCAAAGATTTAAAAGTTATGGGATCAAGTCAATGGATTTATTCTTTAGATAGACATTATGATAATTCAGGCACTATAAGTAATGATTGTAGAAATATTTTAAAAAATTACGTGGATTGTATCATGGATACGTATTCCAATACTCCTGAACTTATCACTCGGGAAGTTTTTGAATTCGTCGAAATCGAAGGTATAGTCAACTGAATGAGGAAAGAATTTTAGGAATCTAACTTATTCATAAACTCACCCTTGTAAATATATATCACAAAGTTCCGGAAATTTATTCAATTATATGTGAATTTGAAACGGAATTAAAAATTTTGGAACAGCAAAATAAAAAGGCCCTTATTATAATGGAAACTTTATTGGCATGTAAAAGTGTGAATGGTATTCTTGAACGAGATCTTAGCGAAATACAAGAAAAAACTCGCGTTGAAGTCGAATGGAGTTATAATGCTTATAGAAGTCGGTTGCAATTATTTATGCCAACTTTTAACCAATTAATTAAAAGAATGCGATGTAAAATTAATGATATCAATGAATTAATTGAAAGAAGGAATGTGATTAATATGATGGGTATGAGTCAGGGAGAAATTGGTGTTGGTGTTGAAGTTGACAGTCATGAAGAATGGAATCTTAAAGGTGGTGACGTTGAAAATAATCAGGTTAGTTGGTTATAAGTTGGATGATCACCGTTTGTAAAACCATAACGATAAAACTTTGATTTTAATCAAATATAGACGTTCATACCAAATTGTTCAATTACCCATACGGTGCAATGAAGTTGCCGTCAAATTTTCTTGTATTATATTGGATGTATCAAAAGTTATTGATGAATTGATAGAGTAAAATTATAATTAAACGAAAAAAACATTCTTCTTTTTTGGTTATGTATAGTTATGATCGTGTAACTTGACTAAATCCATAAAAGTGCTTTGCTGATTCTTATTGGTCAATTATTTTACTTATTACTATAAAAAAAAATAATTTCAACTAGTATTAAAAGGTAAATTTTTTTAACCAGTGATCTCAAATCTATTATTTCGTAGCTTTTAGATTCACAACAATTGGGACGAGCCGTATGGTTAGGTAACGTTTGGTGTTATATTAGTCAAGCGTGATATTTTAAAGTGTTAATTATATATACAGTATATGATCTAACTTATATTATCCCGTATGTATAATTTTACACAGAACTCGAACGTTTTCTTTAAAGAGGCTGAAATAGATATTTAATCAACTAGTATTCAGAATTTAATTTGTTAGATTCATCTCGTTGAGACGAACAGTGTTATTTTAACTAACTGATTTATCTCGTATGATTTATCAATAGATTCCAAACTGTAGATTTAAAAAGTCCCCAGAAGGTAAAATTTAAGAATTTGATGATTAATAGCTTGTTAGATTCATTCAATGGATCAGTATGTCGTAATTTCTTTAAAATCAAATATTGATCAAGAAATGATACTTTAAAAAGTTTTTAATCAATTATATCATCATATTTATAAAGATCACGTAACTTTATAACAAAAATTTATTTCGAGAGTTCCTAAAATCAAGATCAAAGGTAATTTAACTAATGTTCGAAGGTCGCATAATATGGTATAAAAGTCAAAATAATGTTTTAAAATTTTTCAATTAATTTATAAAATTTATTATTTACGTTAATACCTGTGCAGGTTACATATAAAACACGAATATTTATATTTAAGAATTCTTAGAAGACAATTTTAAGGTAATTTTGGTAATTTTTTTTTACGACTAGTATTTAGAATTTAACGATTAATCGTTTGTTAACAATATTGATGTTTTAAATCTTAATCATATTTATAATTTATTTTTTCATATAGCATAAACTTTGACAAAAATTTTCGTTTATAAATGAGATTTGATTAATATTCATAATTTAATAATTACATTAAAGTTATATTTATAAATTAATAACAATTATCATAATAGTTATAATAATTGTAATAGTAATATTTTATATAATTATCATTTATTTTACTTTTACTTTCTTATTTTTTTTTTTTTTACATTTTTATTAATTAACCTAATTTATTTTATAATTTTACTTAAAAAATATTATAAATTTATTTTAAATATTATTTTATAAATTTTTTTATTATAAGATATTATTAAAAGAATAAAATTATTAAAATTAATTATTTTTTAAAAAAAAAAATATTTATTTAAAATAAAAATCAAAAAAAAAAAATAATTTCTCTTAAAAAAATTATATATAAAAATAATATAAAAATTATGATTATTAATATATTTTTAGTAATTCTATATTACAATTTTATATATTTGATAATAACTTGATTTACATATTTTTTTTAATATTAATATATATAGAATTATTAAATATAATTTGATTAATTACATTTACATAATTATATATAATTATATAAAAATATAATTTATAATTATAGTAATTATGGTAATTAATTACACATTTTTTTAATTAATTACAGAATGATAAATAATTACAGTGTAGTAATTTATTTGATAATTAATTACAGTTGCACAATTAATATTACTTACTGAAAATCAATTTTCCAATCTTTTTTTTGAATCATTATATTTTTTTTTTTTAACAAAAAAAAAAATACTTTTATTTTATTTAACATAATCTTTAAAAAAAATCTTATTTTTAAACTTAATACTTGAACTTGTAAGAATTTTTATTAAATGTAATTTTTTTTATTTTGTAGATTTTAATTTTATATACATTTAATATCTTTTTTATAAATATTAATACAGAGATTTCATGATGAAAATTGAGCACTTTGATCAACATCAATCGCCTTTCATCTTTAAATGAAAGTTATTCAGCAGGTTCGATAATATTTATATCTAATTTCTTATATTAGTTTGTTTAAAATTCGTATAGTAATATTTTTTTTTGTAACTTTATTAAATAAGTCATACTTTTTTAACTTCACAAGGATATTTGAACACTTTGGTCAAAGTTAATCGCCTTTTATCTCTAAGTGAAAGTTGTTCAGTAGATTCGATACTATTTGTATATAAAATTTTTTCTATATTGGATTAATTTTCGTGTAGTAATATTTTTTTTTGTAACTTTATAAAATAAGTCATACTTTTTTAACTTCACAAGGATATTTGAACACTTCGGTCAAAGTTAACCGCCTTTCATCTCTAAGTAAAAGTTGTTCAGCAGGTTCGATAATATTTATATCTAATTTCTTATATTAGTTTGTTTAAAATTCGTGTAGTAATATTTTTTTTTGTAACTTTATTAAATAAGTCATACTTTTTTAACTTCACAAGGATATTTTATTACTTTGGTCAAAGTCAATCACCTTTTATTTCTAAGTAAAAGTTGTTTAGCAGGTTTGATACTATTTGTATATAAAATTTCTTGAAGATTGGATTAATATTCGTGTAGTAATATGTGTTTTATAACTTTATTAATATTACAGCATTTTTTTTTAATTTTACAGAATAATTTGAGTACTTTGGTTAAAGTCAATCGCCTTTTATCTCTAAGTGAATATTGGTCAGCAGGTTTAATATCATTTATATCTAATATTTTATCTTAGTTGGTTTAAATATTCATGCAGTAATATTTTTTTTTTGTAACTTCACTAAATAAGTTATACTTTTTTAATTTCACAAATTAATTTGATTATTTTGTTCAAAGTAAATTACTAATTGTGCATTAAGTAAAAATGTTCTATATATCTGAAATTATATATATATAAAATATCATCTCAATTAGTTTAATATTCATTGAGTAATAGCTTTTGTAACTGTACTAATTCTCAAATTTTTTTGTTTTTTTTGAATATTTATTTATTGTAATTTATTAAATACTATATCAATATAAAAAAAATATCAAATAAAAGTATTTAAAAGTTATTACTTTGTTTTATTATAATTAATTTTTTTGAATAAATTTTAAAAATATTTTTTTTTAAATTTTATTGTATTTTTAAAATTATATAAAATAATAATTTATTAAATAATCAAAAGTTACAATTACTGTTTTTCATGCAAAATTTTATTCTTTTTCAAATGTGTATTTAATTATAATAATTAATAAAAAATTAAAAACTTTTATTATTAGTAAAATTTACTTTAAATTTCATAAAAAGAGTGTAAAAAAATACTTTATAATTAATTATATAATTAATTATATATTATATATTAAAATTACATATTAAGTTTTTTATAAAATATTTACCATAATATGTATATACACAATTAGTATTACTAATAATCAATTTTCTAATAATTTTTTTTGAACATTTATATATATATTTATTTTAACAAAAAAAAACAAAAATTATTATTTTTAAACTTAAATACTTAAAATAAGTTTATAAGAATTCATATTAAATGTAAATAAAATTACTTTTTTATTTTAAACTTATATATATTTAATATTATCTTTTTACAAATATTAATATAAAAATTTTATGATAAATTTAAAAACTTTGATTAAAATAAAACATTTTTTATTTCTAAGTGAATATTTCAGCAAATTAAATATTATTACACTTAAATTTTCATCAAAGTTAATTAAATATATGTAAAGTAATATTTATTTTTATAACTTTATTAAATAAATTACACTTTTGACTTCACAAAATGATTGGAATATTTTGGTTAAAGTAAAGTGTCTTTTATTTTTAAATAAAGTTATTAAATAAATTTGCTATAAATGTGATTATAATTTATTAAATATTAAAATAAATATATATCATAAAATTATTATATTTTATAAAAAAATATATCAAATAAAAGTATTTAAAGTATTATCTTATTTTATTATAATTAATTTGTTAAATAAATTTTTAAAAAAAATTCTTTTGATTTTATTGTATTTTTAAAGTTATATAAAATAGTGATTTATATAATAATTAAAATTAGAATTATATTATATTATGTAGAATTTTATTCTTTTAAATAAATATTTATTATAATAATTAAAAAAATGTATTACTATTTAATGATCTCTAACCACATAATTTGTTTACATCACGTGATATAAAATTCTAAAAAATTAATATTAATACATATAAAAATTTTCATAATTATTATCATGAACTTTTAATATACTAATTTAAATATAAGTTAATTATTAGATTTATGAGATTCTGAATTTTTTAAAAACTATGTTTTATCAAATTTAAATTATTAAATGCAAAAATAATTGAAAAAATGTAAAGTCAATTATTAAAGTATAAAAAAGATTTTTATAATTGTTATTACAAATATTTAATATAAATAACTTAATATTTACTGTACTAATTTATGTAAAGTTAAACTATTGGATTCATAAAATTCTAAATTTTCTAATAATTTATGTTTTATTAAATTTGAATTATAAAATATAGTAATGCTTTTATTTATTAAATAGATATTTTTAAATAAACTTATATTAAACAAATTTTTAATTATATCAATTATAATAATTATTATATTTTATATTAAATATACTTTTATATAAAAATTATTTATATAAATATAACTTTTAATAAAAAAAATTTTTTTTTTTAAATTAAATCTATAATTTAATAATATTTAATTTATTATCTTCTTATAAGACTATGCATATTTAGAATTTTAATTTATATAATATAAAATTTAAAATCAATCTAAGATCATGAGTTTTATTTTTTATTTATAAAAATTTATTAAAAATCATATTACATAATTGTTTAATTTAAAATACTATTATTATTTAACAAAATGATTATTTTTTTTAATTTTTAAATTGTTTAAATGAAATGGTTATTATATACTATATGTATTAGTAATAGATCATAATTATAAAATTTTAAAAGATTAAATAGTATTATCTATTAAAAAAAACAAAAAAGAAATTTTTTAAAAAAATTAATTTTATATTTATTATTTGATTTGTAAGAAACAAATTATGATGTAAAATTTAGTCTATTAAAAATATTAGTAAAAAAAAAGATTTTAGTATAATGTATTGCTAAAAAGCTATATATTAATATAGAAATTATGCAAATTTTTATTTTAAGTCACAAAAAAAATAAAATTTAATAAAATTCTTATAATTAATATCTTTAATATTTTAAAAACTAATAAATGATTTATTTATTTCAGAATTTAATAATAACTTAAGAAATATCTTAAAAAATTTATAATTTGATTTATCTATTGAATTAAAAGTACTAGTAATAAATGAAAAGAAAAAAATATTATATAAAATATTAAAAAAAATTTATAATAGATTTAATAAATATTTTATAATATATTAATAGTTATTCTATAAAATTTTAAATCAAAATTTATAAATTTTTTTGAAAAATCACTTTTAGAAAATTATAAAAATTCAAAAACAA